TGCTGGAGCCACTCCCAGCTGCCTTTGGGCAGTAGGCGGCAGACACCTGAACAACCATCCGCACTCACACTCAAACCTAGGGACAATTTGGAGTGTTCCATCAGCCTGCCATGCATATTTTTGGAATGTGGGAGGAAACCAGAGTACCCGGAGAAAACCCACGCAAGCACAGGGAGAACATGCAAACTCCACACAGGAAGGCCGGAGCTGGAATCGAACCCGGTATCTCAGCACTATGAGGTCGACACGTGAACCACCCGAGGACCGGGCCGCACTGTATGTGATTATTACGTATACAATACTGTATTGAATGAAAGCAAAGATGAAACCATTTTTCAGGCCCCAGCATTTAAAACAAAACAAAAATCGAAAACATTTTCTTCCAAACAACTGACAGTTTTTAGAAATACAGCACAGAACCTTTTGTCATGGAGAAAATTTGGCAAGCTGTACAGCGGTGGGGCGTGGAGACTGTTCACATTCCCTTCGCCAACCAGGATGCAGAACACAATGATCTGTTAAAAAAAAAAAAAAAAAGCTGTGGGGAGGTCACCAGCTCCCGTAGGGGTAAATCATCATCTGTCTGTATGTTTACTTGCTTCAAGTCAGCTGGTCTTCGTGACCCAAATGAGATGAATCATATACGGTATTAAAAAAAAAAAAAAAAAAGAAAAACCTGATGGATGGATATTGCTGCATACCTTTGGACACTTGAGGTGGTCCGCAGACTTTTTTGCATTCTTACTAAGCGCTCCCTTGTCTGACCGAGTCCTTCCGAAGGGAAAAAGTGTTGGATTGCCTCCTGGCAGCGAGGGCACCTGGTAAAATCATTACAGCGGCTCTAAGAAGTGGCAGCACATATTTGTATTAAAAAAAAAAAAAAAGATTCAACAGAAAAATGATGATTGAATTTTTGCATTCGGGGCAAGTGCTATCATACCCCACCAGATCCAGTAGGGAGTCAATCAGAATTTCTTGAATGTACTCAGAACCCAAACCACTCAATTCTACTGACTGACAGCCAGTGTCAAGTCTTTAGGACAAGAGTAAGATGTTCTGATGTCTTTGCCCTGGTAAACCGAGTGCCTCTGCTGCATTCAGCCAAATCGTAACAATTGGGCAGTTTCAAATGCAGCCTCGGTGACCTCATGGACCCGCTACCCTCCACACTGAGAGCAAACAACTTGAAGCACTTTTGACTTTCCCGACTCCTTCCAGATGTTCTTTAAATGGACACCGTAACCAGAGGAAAAAAAAAAAAAGGTCAATTTTAAGCCAACAAAGACAGCGCTCGGTCGGGCTAGTGACGTCAACGACAAGATGCGTACACGCAGCACAGTGCAAATAAGCCTCTTAGGCCGAGCCCAGGGTTTGCCGTTTTTATGGCCTTTTCCATCATGACAAGCTCAATCGTAGGACACGTGGCGGTGTGAGCGATGATATGAAGGAGTCTTCCGATATATTTTATATTCAAAACAGAGTCGTGCGAAATCATCTATTTTGGCTATCATCAATGTTGCGTTAAAGAGAAGTGGGTCAGTGCCCCACCACATCCATCAGATGGCACAGTGGGAGAAATTTTTTGGGGTAAAGCGAACTGGAAAATGGATGGATGGATTTTTCATAAACCTAAACAAGAAATACAAAA